GCATTTCACAGGATTAATCTTCTTAATGGTATTTGAAAAGTCTTGCAACTCTCGGGGGTTGGGTGTTTTTTCGGATGGATCTGCGGTGCGGGGCGCTGGAAGTTTCATCCATCAAATTATCAAGTGAACATATACGGGCTCATTTGTGTTTACTGCGAAATGAGTTCAAATGAGAGATTATCTCTGGACAATCGCAGTGTTACTCTGGCGAGTTTGGGACAACAAAAGAAGCCTGCGCCGAGGGTTTAATTTAAGCAGGTCGAGGGGTCGGGTCACATCTGTGTGTGTTTTGGCACGGTGACCCAGAAATCTATACCAAACAACCTTTGTGATGGAGATTATGGCCTTGTTTCTTATGAAGTCGTTAGATTACAGTTAAAAGGGAAAGTTTTGGCATCGTTTACTCTCCATTCACTTGTTTGTTGAACAGAAAAAAAGAGATTTAGAAAAATGTTGGAAATTTGAGATCGTTGACTAACATATTATTTGTTTTTCTTACTATGGAAGTCAATGGTTACAGGTTTCTAACGTTCTTCAAAATATCTTATTTTTTGCGCAATGACAATAGGAAGCTTTGTGAGTAAATCATGAGTAATTCTTCAGTTTTGAGTGAACCATCCCTTTAAAAATGTTTAGTATAACAGTGAAATAAATCATTCATTCAATTGTTTCTTGGCTTAGTCTCTTCTTTATCACAGTGGAATGAACCACCAACTATTTCAGCATATGTTTTAGACAGTGGATGCCCTTTCAGTCGCAATTCCTCACGGGGAAACACCCATACACTCTTACATTCATACACACACACTCATGCACTACAGCTAATGTTGTTCATTCAATTCACCTCAATACACAGGGAGAACATGCAAACTCCACACTGAAATGCCAAGTGGCCTAACCAGGACTTGAATCAGCGACCTTCTTGCTGTGAGGCGACAGTGCTAACCACTTTGCCACCTTTCAGTGTAAACATTACAATCTCAATTCTAATTTTTTTATTCTTAAATGTCTGTTGGCTTTAGGATTCCAGTGAATGTAGCCAGAGAGAGCAGTCGACCTGTAGTTACGAAACAGTAGTTACGTTTAGAGTTTTTTTAATATATCTATTGATTTTTTAGGGGGGTTTACCTTTATTATGATATAGGACAGAGAAGATTTCAGACAGGAAAGCATTAAGAGCAGAGATAGGAACACTGCAAAAAAAAAATCTTAGATTTTTGTCTTGTTTCTAGTCCAAATATCTAAAAGTTCTTAAATCAAGAAGCATTTTCTAGACAAGCAAAACATATTGTCTTGTTTTAAGAAATAATATGCCAAAATGAAGTGAGTTTTTCCTTAAATGAAGCTAAATAATCAGCCAATGTGGTAAGCTAAATAATCTTATCACAAATCGAAAAACAAGA